GGGGGATGCTCGCAAGATGTGGTGCAGGGCTGGCCGCGGCGGGGTGGGGCAGGCGGGCCCCCGAGGCCACTACAATCACAAGTAACGCGCTGGATTCCCACTCAGTGCACGTGCACCTCCACGGCCGTCTGGATGAGCTGTCGAAAGGGACTCGGCGGGGCCGTGGCTGAACTGGCCCGCGGAAAAAGGATTTGAAAAAGAGAAAGACAAAAAGCAAACTATATCTCGTCTTCTCCATTTCCAATAGCAGCATTGATTGACTGTGCACGTGTTGCATGCCAATTAAAATGCAGTGCGCATTTTGCACACCAGTGAGATGGCGGGCGGGTGATTTGAAAAAACGCATGCTAGCCGATTTGCTTGATTCACAGATTCCCCCCCCCCCCCCCGTGTATTGTTTTTGTTCGGAGCGTTTCGAGCCCGTATCAGGACAGACCATTCCCGTCGACTTGTCCCCTTGTCCTTTATGCAAATAACGAATCGGTCCGACACAGGACGGCCTGTCGATTTATGGCTCACAGCGTCAGTAACGCACTGCGGCCACCCCGCGATAAACAACACCAGCAGCACACACTGCCCCGCGCACCGCGCAGCACCGGAACAAGATTCCTAATTTAATTTTGGACAGGGGAAACGCCGACAGACACTGTGAGGGCCGGCCACCGGTGGCAAAGGTGCCGTTCCCTCGTCAAGTGTGACAAGCAGCAGACCAACAGCAAAAATAGTTTTGAAACGATTAAATTTTTTTTTCAAATCACTGTGTAAAGTAATAGGGCGAAAAGCTTTTCAACAGTGCTCCCTAAAAATGAGGGGAACCAAATTATTTCCCCTTTTATACCCTCCACCTCCCCTTTGGCCATCCCGTGTCACTCCGCCTTTCGCCCCAATCGTCACCTTCCATTTTCATTACGCCGTCTGCGTCGCCCCGCCCTACCCCGCCCCGCCCCGCCCCGCCTCGCCCCGCCCCGCCTCGCCCCGCCTCGCTGCCTCCGAGGCAAAAACCGGAGGTGATGTGCGCGTCGCGTCGCCAGCCACGCCAGCCCGGCGACGTGACCCCCGCGACCTCGAAAGCGCCCCCGCCCCCTCTCCTCGAATTCTGCCAGTCACCCTCGTGCACCGCAGCATCCCAAGGTGGGAGATGGATGCCATGCAGTGTGTGGGATGCAGGAGGTGTGGGTATGCTTCCACAAGGCATCCCTGCTAAGTAAGGCCTCCTTAAAAAGTCACGTTTGCCAAGTAGTTGGTTTGTTTAGTTTCGTCCAATCCTCTCAGAATCCCTGCTAGTATCCATTTTTTCACCCGATTGGGCTCCAAACAGTTCCGACAAAAACGACCCAGGTGACAGTGACCTCAAAAGACGATAACGAACGAGTAGAGTAAAGGCGTCTGCGACGCTTCACAGCACCGCGTTTTACGCCACAAGTCGTACGCCGCCACGCCCCGCCACGCGAGCCAAAGTTTGAGGGCGCGGTATGAAATGAGCAGGCGCAAATAGCTGACCGAGTGATTCCAGCGCGGTCCCATTAAAGTTGGAGCAGGTTTGCGGCGGGCCCAAATCATTTACAAGACTTGAAAAAAGGAGAGAAACGTTCAAGAAACTGCGCAGGTGTGCGCGCGCACGCTCGACCTGGACGCAATTTTGTTTAGAGAACAAAGACTGAATTAAGTTTACCTCTTAGCTTTCTCTCGCGTTGGGGAGCCCTCTCAGACTGCGTTGTGGTCCGGGGACGTGGTGATAGAAGTCCATCGTTATGGCACAGCACGGACGAGGCAGTCAGTCAATAACAAAAGCCGATATCTAGCATGCAGGCAGAGGCAAATATGGGCGAATATGCCGCGAGGGACATGCAGCACGTTCCAAACTGGGACACACACACACGAGATGCGGAGGTGTTGATGACATATTGACACTAGTGTATCAGTGCTGTCCAGATCAGGCCTCTCCTATATTATTCATATACAAGCAAAAGCTCACATCCAAGCTGGGGGCAAGGAAATGAAAAGTTTCGGGCATGTTTTGAAATCAACAGAGTGCTTGTATTTGAAAATAAGTGCCAAAGACGCTACACCACGTGGAAGGCACCGTGAGAGGAACGTCTCGAGAAAGGAGGAAGTTTGCGGGCTCTTTGATTCCGCCCACTCTCACGCACCACACAGTACAGTGCGCGTAGGCGGACTGGCAGGCTGCCAAGCAAGCCGCGAAGTCGCCTTCTCGGGCTTGAATAAAAGCTGAAAATGTTATTCCGTTCCAGCACTTGATGAAATATAAAGGCACCCCGCCGCTCTGCCAACAGTCTGCCTGCTGCGTGCGTCGAGGCGGAGGCAGAGGTAAAGGCCCACCCTCTCTCGTGGGCAGGAAAGCCCAGGCCTTTTCCCAGGTGGCTGTACGCCAGTCTACCCGGAGGGGTCAACGTTGAGTTGGCAAAGGTTAAAAGGGTGGGGCCGGTGATAATCTGAGAGTTCTTCTGTGTTTGCGAGGCAGTGAGTCTCTGAGTTCAAAAGGTACAATATTTACCCGCTTTAATTTATAGAGGCCGATCTTCCTGCTGGGTGTGAGGCTGATGGACGCCCGCTCCGCTATCTCCGCCGGAGGATCCGCCCTGCCTTCCAGCGGGGCGGAGTCGCCAGATGGCAGCCAGCCCGGCAGCTTTTATAGCTGCAGAAGTAGCGGTGCCGAAGGCCGAAGCAACAGATAGTATGCGGCCCCAGTGCCTAGGAGGGGAGTCTGGAAGTAACTTGCGCCCGTGCCAGCGCAGCCACGCCTAAACTACAGACAGCTGTGTCATGCACTTGGGGCGTGAGCATGGACTTCCGTGGGCGCTGAAGTCAGAGTCTTTTTGCATCTTAAACGATGCTACAAGCCATGATAATAAGATTACAACTTCATTGAATTTGACTACTAAATTTCATTCCCTCAGTTTGTTCTTTGTCAGTGCAAATCCTCAGCAAAAAAAATGCCAGCTTAGTACTTTGTTGAGACAAAAATGTTGGTGAAGGTCACAAGCCTCAGGTTTGTCCAGAAGTAGCATGTTTTCCGCAACAATCATACACCACCTACCGCTGCCCTCCCTCGGAGACTCCCAGCCCCGGGCGTTGTGCAGCCTGCACCAGAGCAGCGCTCCAACTGTCTCTGTCCATCCCCAAGGGCGCGAGAGAGACAGAACAGCACAGTTCGGACTCAGCCTGCTGTGCACACAACTCAAATGCAGCCAGCTTGAGCCTGTCTGAGATTGGGGGCGTGTCGCCACGGGGCTGACGGCCCCGGCTCGTGCTCGTCGGAAGACAAAAGCGAATATGGAAATAAACGCGAGAAAAAAATATTTACGATGCGTCCCCGGGGTCGGGGTCCCGAAAGCGGCCCAAAGTCAACTGACTGAGAAGACGGCGAAGGGGCCTTGAAAAACAGCCCCGGGGCGAGGAAAGCTGCAGAGGCACACCATGGCAGATGGAGAGCAGAGTTGTAATCGCGGGCAGAGCTCCCAGCAAACAGGTTGTCACAGCTAGAAGTGCAGTGCGGGCGCAACGACCTGCCGTGCAGAAGACTGGGTGGGAGTGAACTTCTTTAAATTTACATTCTCTAAACGGGATGATCTAACCAGATTGTCTCTTTAACCCACATTCGGTACAACCTCTCACCTAACCTGCATTTCTGCTGCTGCCTAATGGGGGCCGCACGCGATATTATGGATGGTCCGTCAGTGGCGTCTGCAGCCTGCCTGCAGCCTGCAGCCTGCAAGCGTAGGCTGGCTGCCACGCCTTGACCCGGTGCGTTTCGGTCCACGGCACATCATTGATGCAGCAGGGGTGGAGATTCATGTCGGGGGCGTGACAAAGGGGGAGTGGGGATTTTGCTGACCGCGGCCAGTGTAACACGACACAGCACTACCTCCTAAGAGGCCTGCCGCAGGGAGGCCCGACTTGCAGGCAGAATAATTACTATCCGAACACGTTTCCAGGAGCGACGCCGACGTGGAACAGCGGTGCAAAACGGAACGAAGCGGCCGGGATCTGCAAATTGTCTTCCCCCGTCCGCGCTCTGCACACGGCGCACGATTTATTGCAGCATCGAGCGGACGTCCGGCCGGCCGCGGAGCGCGTTTTAACCGCGGCAGTAACGCGGCGATCGCATCCATCCCCGGGCCGGGCCGCGCCAGGCGAGGCACACTTTTTTACAGGCCAGTTTTATCGCCGAAAAGTAGTTGTGCAGCAGACGGCCTTTATTTCGTTGCTTTGGATGGACGCCCGCCGGACTGTTGTTCGCAAATTTCCTGATGCAGGCGATTTCCTTCACGAACACGGACACGCGAAAGTGCCCCGGGTAGACCGTGCTGCCGTGTTTGAAAGCGTGTATACACGCGTTTAAAACTCGATTGATTCTGTTGTCGACGTTGGGCTCGCCACAATCAAACTGTTAAAAAAAGGGAGACCTACCTGCTTACGCCAGTCTCGGCTTGCGTGGGTGAGTGTGTTTTGTCTGTGAAGGTGTGGGTGGTGCGATGAAAGGGCACGCGCGTGCGTGAGTGTATTTGTGTTTGTCGCCGACAAACGGATCTAGAAATTTGGTTTCGCGATTACAGCGAAGCCCTTTGAACTACAATAAAACCGCGAGGCACACAGGCCGCCGCCACAAGTTCCATTATAATACCGACAAAGGGGCTCTTCTTTCACCTGGGCCTCGGCGGGGCCTCGGTGGGGCCTCGCCTCCGCAGCAACGCCGCGAGCCCCGGCAGCCGCGCCATCCGAAGGGTGGTTTTGTCGCTCCGTTCCTCTCGCACTCACGGGGTGTCCCGCAGGGTTGCGAGAGAGACAGCGCTACGAGATGACTCACAGGGCTGGCCGGCAGGGCCCTGGCTTTCCATTCGATAAGGCAACGAGCTTCGCTTGGCTTCGCCACCCATATAGCCCGCGGCGGCCAATAGAATGTTTTATTGGCCGAACCGAAAGGGATGCCGATGGCGGGCAATTCGGATCAAATAGAACTGGAACTCATTGCTACTCACGTGTAGATGGGCTTGCCCGACGCGTCCCGGAACCACAGCACCATGTTGACGCGGTCGGAGGTCTTGTCGCTGGGGTCGATGTCGCAGGGCAGCGACACTTTGCCGTCCAGCACGGCCTCCACGCTCACGCTGGACACTGCAAAAAGAGCAAGCGAGGCCGTCACAACTTTGTGGATGCACCCTAGTTTCTTTGAGGAAGGTCTTTTTTTCGCAGAGGAGAAAATGAGCCTTGACTTTCACACCCCACTAACAGCCGGGCGGCGCCGCAGCCTTGCGTGAAGCACGCCGCACTGGTGGCACGCCACGCCGGGGCACGGCACGCCACGGCAGCACGTGGCACGCCACTGCCGCGTAATGCTGGAAATCACTATATTCCTTGACGGCGGCCAAAGTTGGAGAGACACGAAGGGCTTGTCGCTAATTTCAATGTTGTGTGCGCATCCGCGGGGCCGCCGCGGGGCTGCGGGAGGGAGCCCCGTGCACTTCCTGCTAGGGTGGGGCAGGCACGCAGGCCCACCCACAGAGAGAGCAGGCCTAGTACACATGAACAAAAGGGCGAGTAAGTTCAGGCCGCAACGTATGATTTGTTTGAAACCATCCGTTTACACCCAACAATAATTTAAACGCAGTTCCAAACCCTCGCAAGACAGTGGTTCATGGCAATTAAGATCTTCCGAGACACCACTTCGAATCGGCAATTTGGCGAAGAACAGGAAAACGGATTGGGGGCGCACCCCTCCCCGGAACCGCGGTGCCTCCTGTCGAGGTGCTGCGCTGCGAGGAGGTTTGAAATCAGCATCGCGATAGCGGGCGAGGAACTTGTGTGTGGACGTTGCCGATGAGCGAGGCGGATTGCTTATACGCAAACATGAGCGCACACACACATACTCTCACACTCTCACACACACTCCGGCTACCGCGGGTCCTTTCCAGTGGCGTTGCGGGGACCGCGGTGGCGAGGACCAGCGACGCCTCACAACGATTTCCGATAGGCCGCGTGGCGCTGCGTAGCACTGCGTGGCGATGGGGGCGACGGGCAGACCACCCAGGCGACGGTGCGTACCGCGCCCGCCCCGACCCGCCCCAAGCGTGGCCCGCCGAGCGTGATCGGGACGTAATCAGACGCGTAAGCAACCGGTCCGTTGACGCCGACCCCCCTCTTTCCCGCCCTCCGATGACCGCGGCCCGGCCAAGGTGATCCCAGGCGACCTTTATCCGAGGCCCTGCGATGTGCCTCGTCACCTGTTGGCGCCGCTATTCACTTTGCGATGTCCACTGCAGATTAGTCGGCCGCCGGCCTCGACGGTACTTTGGCTTTCAACAGACGGCCGCGTGACCGACTGATTAAAATCGTTTCTATCGTTTTCATGGGTGAAATTCGATTAAGGTTTGTGAAGCTCGGCGAAATTCGCTACTCTTGTTAAAATTAGAACTCCGTGAACATTTAGAAGAATTTCTTCACCGCTGCCATTAGAAGCAGGACTGTGAGGGGTAGTGCACCACAAGCCACGCCCCACCCCACCCCGCCCCGCCACGCCACGCTCGTCTGCTGGTTACTACAGGGTTACGCCCGGAACGTGACACCGTAAAGAACATGGACGTGAGCGTGCTCTTTCGTCACCGCATCGTGATATTCACCTAGCGCGTGACATGCACGCACGCGCGGCCACGGCTCTGAGAGACAGGCACAGACTCACAAAGTGTACACTGCGAAAGAAGTCTGGCTAGAAAGTTGGAGTTTTGCGCGATGAATCTCTCAGAACGGGAATAAATATGAGATTTTTTTTGTCATCTCAGACTTGCAGTCATGTGCTTATTGAAACTTCCGCGACAGTTTTGACAGAAAGCAAAGAGGAAATAATTCGCTAGCCATGTAGCAAGTCACGAGAAAAACCACTAGCCACGAGAAGAGAAATAGGACGCCACTGAATCGCGGCCTCCCAGTCGGGCATGTTCACAAGCTTTCTCCATTGCCGACTCTGACGGTGTTGGCCATCGACAGGTGGACGACCTACTTGGCTCCTCTCTCCCTGTTCTGCTTCTTGATTGGCGGTGCACTTTGCAGCCAGACGTCTGGGAAGAGGACAGAACCACCTTCTCGGCATCCCAGCAGACTGATTCATTAAAAATGCCCCCTGCCTTCCCCCGATGCCGCAGTAACACCGTGAGGTGTGAGATGGAGACGGAGCGACGAAAGCACCGCCAGAAATTAGATTCCAGCGTGAAGCGCCTCAGTGCATGCACGGGCGGAATGCACGCTTATAGACGATTCAAGAATGTTGTTTTTGTTGTTGTTGTGAAGCGGAAATCACTTTCCCTGACCCAACCCGCCTGCTTCCCCAACCCCTCATACCACGCTGCCCAACCCCCTGCTTCTCGACCCCCCGATGCTTCTGCGCCGCTAGTGCTTGCGGTTGTGGCTGAGCTACACGTGAGAACACGCCACACACACACAAACACACACACACACACGAGACATATCGCACGCTTCCGGGGGACAGATTGCGCCGTGCCTTGTTTCGCTCGCTCACGGCCCCGCCCGGCAAGGCTCGACGCGGCCCGGCGCGGCCCGGCGCGGCCCGGCGCGGCCCGGCGCGGCCTGGCGCGGTGCAGCGGTGCCCGAAAACGTGCCGCCTATCCCTCAGCGTCGCGACGCCTGGTGTCGTGTCCGGGGCGTGGCGTGGCGGGGCGTGGCGGGGCGTGGCGGGGCGGGGCAACCCCACCGCGTCGTTGTGGCCGTGCCCACTCGTGTATGGTGTACGTGACGGGCCCGGATATGATGATCCGGACAGCGGTGATCCGACCGGGTAATCCGTCGGGTAATCCCGCGGGGGCGGCTTACATCGCTGCGCGGCCACAGGTAAGCAATCTGCGGGCAACACCACAGCGCTTTTGACTCGATACGGGGTTTTTAGTGAGTAAACTAACTGACTTGCGGTGCACTGGGTGGGTGGCAGTGCGACCCTGCGCATTAATGTCCCCAATTTACCATTTTTTTGCGAGGGAGTGTACCAGCCTGTGTGCCTGGCGCGGTGCAGTGGGTGCTGCGGGTACTTTTATCCTGGCAATGTGGCCCCGCGAATTAATGTGCTGGGAGCAGCCGCCAGCTGCTGAGCGGAGCGCTGCCGACGAAGGCGCGCCTCCTGCTCTTGGCCAAGAAGCTGTCTAAGAAGGCAGCGGGCGTAAATTCGGAAGCATGTAGAGGGCGGGGCTGGGAGCGGCTGGAGGGGGCGACCGGTGGCGGGTTCTCTCACGCGCCGTGAGTCTAAGTGATAATGAATAATACGAGGAAAACAGCCACAAGGGAGATCCGCCAAGGACCCTCCACCAGGTGCAGCCTCCCCCGGAGAACTGGGAACCCACCTCGCATATTGGACACTGTTATATAGTTTTCACTGAACGAAGCTTTCTTTCACGAATTGTCCCTAAGAGACTTGCTTGGAACAAAATGAAATGTTTTACGGAAAGGAAGAGCCCGTACTTTCATGAAACTACGACGGCAATGGTCTTGTTCTGGCTGACACGTTTCCATGCGCTGCCCGTCGAAGAAAGAGAAAAGTGTACGTCTTTAACAGAGGGATTTGAGCAAACTTCTTATTGGCCCCGTTGCTTTCTCTGCGCGAAAACAAAAATGCAGTAATGCGGTACCGTTCAGGTGGCCCGGCACAGTACGCCAGGCAGGTGCTTTTGTTTGATTTGTTCTCGCTGCTTTTGTCTTTTCTCCTTATTTTCCTGCGGGCCCATCAATCACAGAACCTAATCATTCATTCCGGGCTTGATGCCGGGCTTAGCACAATATCCCGTCCGCGGCAGACGCCTTGTCATGCGCACGCACACGCGCGTCTCCGGCGTGATCCCCGGATAACCTCCGCGCAGCATTAAGAACGATCAATGGACGAATCACATCGTTTCGGCCTCGCCCTTTGTCCACCCACTGCTAAGGGGACATGGGTGGTGCCACCGCTTACTTCACTCGGCCTCGCCGCCTGCTGCGACGCCCACATCGTAACCGTCGCTTATTGATTTCCCGCACTGCTTTTCAAAGATGAAGAAAATAAAGAAAAAGTGACCTGAATTTTATTTTAAAATTTTTGTGCGTAAGGTTGGTTTTGCTTGGCCCAGTGCTTGGAGTGGCCGCAAGGAGTCCACTCCGCACCTCGTCGACTGTTGGTAGGCACTTGGGTGCATAACAGTGCTTGGATGCCCGATTGGCGCTGTGCTGGAACGCTTGCCTGGTGTTTGCCGAGCTTGGGCACTGCCGCGCGTATACCGCACCATTGCCCATTCCCTTCGCGACCCCCCGCCGTGCTATCAATTAATAACAAGGAGCAGGGCCACCTTTGATCCGTCCTGTTTTTCGTCTTGTTGTTTGTTGTTGTTGTTTTTCCGTGACAGATGTGAGAGGAGGCCCCGCTTTCATCTTCACTACTTGGGCGCCAACCGCGTGGAAGGGGCGCGGGGCGTCGCGGGGTGCTGCGGGGCGGCCCAAAAGACTTGACGATATTCTGCTCCTGGGAGAGTTTTCAGGTGGGAACTGGTCGTGCCGCTCGCCGCTGTGGGGGGCGTGCGCGCGGAGTGAGTCTGACCAAGTTTTGTTTACTCTTTCCTCATCTCTGTAGCAACACCTGCTAACCTACTTACCGGAATCTTGAAACACAAAGTTTTTCTTGGCGGCCGGGCCACCCGCCCGGGCGGTTGGGCCTGGCCGGGCCTGGCCCCCAACAACACCGCAAGACGCCTGCTGGGGCCGCTGGGGCGAGGAGGTAGAAAGGGGTAAAGGTAAGACTGAGGGCCTTGGGTGGCCCCAGGGGTTGGAGGCAGGACTGTGACTGAGAGGGAGGCGGGGGCAGGGCCAAGGCAGGGGCAATGGGTAATAAAAGGCAGAGGGGCCGCGAGGGGTCGAAGTCCGCAGCCAATCGGAGTGCAGCACAATTAGATTGGAGCCAATTGCAAGCCCCTCTCTTCCCCGCCACCCTCACCTGGAGAACCGTTTTCTTGCGTGTCTATCTTTCCAGTGGACAACGGCGATGACTGCAGAGAAGGAAGGTAGGGAAAGCCGCCATGGGGACCCGAGCAGGTTGTGGTCGGAGTTTCTGGTTGGATCAGGGAGGGTCGGACGGGTCAGTCCCCTAAAAC